ACATCTCTTTAAGACGAGCCACAGAAAATCCTTCTCAAATTCCTGTAACATTGTGTTGTCATTACAGGCCAATCCTCAATCTCCCACAGGTTCACAAAAGAAACTTTTACCTCAGAGAAAATTTATGAGCTCTTCAGGGCCCATAACCTGTCAGGGAATTGCACAACCAGTGTTCAAATGGAGTCAGAGACGCTGACAAGAACTTGCAGTTTTATATAAGTATTTACAGTAAAAGAAAGGCAAACAGGAGCATCATCAGGCAAATCAACACAGTAGGAACATCATCAAGTAAACCATAGAGAACATACAGGGCACATAGGGCAAAAAAGCAGGAAATAAGAAAACTCCCCTTTACTCTCACAGCAACTAATTACAACTGAGATTCCCTCATGCAGTGGCCAATTTTTAACCAATTAGCTGTGTGTTCTTATTGTCAAACCTTCACTGCTCCAGCTATTAAATTTTAAATATCTTAACACTTGTTTTGAAATCTTAGAAAACATGCATAATGAGAAACACGAAATTAGGTCCACACCTAATTAAACTGATTTATTACTAAAAAGCCTATAAACAGGAATCTTCTCAACTAATGGTTATGTAAGGACCGGCTTCTCCTCCCTTTCGAACAAGTATAGACTCTTAAAAACATTGTACGGTGGAACCTCGGGTCACGAACGCTTCTGTTCGTAACCAAATTGGGTGACAACCAGAATTTTTGTTTCTGTTTTGCTTCTGGTCGCAAACAGATCTTTGGGTGGCGACCAAGCAAACCCAAAAATTGCTGCAGCGATTTTCCCTTCAGCACCTTTCTTTTTTTTGGTCTGCGCATGCGCAGACAGTCATGCTTCCAGTCACGACCAAATCAGGTTGCGACTGTAGTCCTGGAATAGATTATGGTCGCGAACCGAGGTTCCACTGTATTTCAAATGGAACCTTTATTGAAAAGGGGTGAAAGCAAGTCAGAATTCAAAGCAGGCTCTGAGGTCCCATAGGGTATACAACTAGGATAAAGGAAGTTACAGACCCCTGCCAACAGTCCGATGTGGATTCCACCAAAGCCGCAGAGATGTAAAGATGTTGTATCGGCCTCTCTGAGAAACAGATAAGAGTTTCTCAGGTGAGAATTTTCCAGGCATTCGAGGTGCCAAGCAACGGTTATAAATCGGGTGAAAAGTTATACAAAAAGGCAAGGCAAGAAATAGGATACTTAGGATACATAGACAGGAAAAGGAACCAAATGTAACAGATCCAACCCCCTTTCTTCCACCAAAGAATGGCAGATACATGGATCTGACATATTGCCCCCCTTAGAAAAATGGAAAATCCACCTGGAAAGGCATAAATTTATTTTTATTTATTTATTTTGTCAAACAATTATTAGATAACAGGTATAAGTATAAACATGGTTACAAATACATGAAATGGATACGAATAAGAAAAAAAAGAAACAATAGGACAGGGATGGTAGGCATGTTTTGGTGCGCTTATGCACGCCCCCTACAGATCTCTTAGGAAAGGGGTGAGGTCAATAGTAGACAGTCTAATGTTGAAGATTTTGAGGTTTGGGGAAGAAACCACAGAGTCAGGTAGAGTATTCCAGACATTGACTACTCTGTTGCTGAAGTCGTATTTCCTGCAATCAAGTTTGGTGCGGTTTATCTTTAGTTTGTATCTATTTTGTGCTCTTGTATTTTGGTTAAAGCTGAAGTATTCATTGATAGGTAGGACATTTGCAATATATAATTTTATATACTAAGATCGAACCGAAGGCGGCGTAGTTCTAGGTTGTCTAGGTCTAAAATTTCAAGTCTGGTGGCATAAGGTATTCTGCTACGAGGAGAGGAGTGGAGGATTCTTCTCATAAAATATTTCTGGACTTTCTCAATTGTATTAATATCAGATATGTATTAATATCAGACATGTAAATCATACAATACAGTAAGAATTAGGATGGTTTGTGAGGGTATTTCAGGTGGAATTTCCGTAATAGTGTGGGGGCTTTGACATTTTTTTTTTTTTTTTTTGGCTACCCATTCGTTTTTGGAGGAGGGTAGGTGTTTCCATGGTACTAAATATTGTGTGGAGCCATGGCGAGTACTTGAGTCAAGGATAACTTTAATTTCAAAGTGTTGTTCCCCTTCCATCATAGTGGGGTTGGAGGTGTAGGTAAAGTGGGCCTGATCTTTGAAGTGATTTCTGGTTTGAGCTGCAGTGCAATACTGTCTAAGTGTCTTAGGAAGTAGGAGTTTCACAGTGACAGGGTTAATGATTCTGGTGATGGGAAGTAGGCCAATGAATTTTGGTCCCAGTTTCTTAGAAGGTTGTAGTGATTGTAAGAACTTTGTGGTCCCCAACCTTGAACAGTTTAGTTCAGTGCATTTTTGTCAGCTTGAACTTTAGAAGTTGCTCTAGCCTCTTGTAAGGTTAGTCTGACCACTGGCCAAGTGGTTTGTAAATTGTTTATCCACTCCTTAAGAGAGGGGATGTCAGATTCTGTAGTGGGTAACTCTTGTCCTGTGGCTACCTGGAATGGGGTGAAACCAGTGCTACTGTGCACAGAGTTATTCTGCAATGAATACTGGACTCAAGGAGAGAGGACACGCCTTCTATAACAGCTGTCTTATATAAACACCTCTTAATGGGGTAAAATTTCTGTGGACCCGCTCTTAGTCTTAAAAGAGCAATACCCATGCTATGCTGATTCATCCTTATTTCATCAGCCACATCTGGCAGCTATTCACTGCTGGTCGGCTCTTAAGTCCCAAGACCTTAACACCATGTGAGCCCTAGGACTAGTGGCCATTCCATTCCTGGGGCTACTATGAACATGAGGGTCTCACTATGGCCCCCAGCTCTATTTGTAATGGTTCTGTGGCAAAGATGGCTGGCTCCCCCCCCCACTTCAGTGCTGTCTAGCTGGCAGAAAGTGATGGGGGTTTTCATTTTCCTTACATGAATTCCCAATCTCCCTACCAGGGTGGGCTGATTAGGCATCTGGTGCATCCTGAGTCCAGTAATGCTGCTACTTCTTCCCCTTTCCCTCGGCTGGGGATAAACAGGGGTAGGTTGCGCAGTTTGATTGGGTCGCTTACCAGCAGGTCGTCTTCTGGACTGGCTCAGGTCTTCTCGGGGTGTCGGAGTTCCTTCCTCGGGGTTTGGAGGGGTTCGCGACTCTAATACAACTGTGGACTTTGCAATTGGTGAGGGGGTCTTTGAAGCGGTGGTGTAGGGCTGTCTTGAATCAATCGAAGTTTTGCAGCTCTGGAGCATCGGCGTGGTGGAGGGTCATAATCCACCTGGCTACTTCCCCTTCTAGGGCTAGAGTGACGACTCGCGCTCTTGCCCCCTGGATTGGGAAATTCTGCCCGTACTTTTGCATATAGGTGAGGACTTGAGCCAGGAAGAACTCGTTTCTGGGGGGTCTCTGTTGAATTTTACCCCAAGGGGAGGGCTTCCACCCAGACTTATGGCTACTGTGGGTGAGAGTCATCTCCCCCCGTGGTTTTTCCATCCCAGCTATCCCTTTTTCCTACGCCAATAGACCATTGGGAATTCGTGGAACTTTCGAGGACAGCTTCGATGTCCTCAATGGGACATATGGAGCCAGTTTTGGGCTGGGTAGTGGTTGAGATTTCTTCCCAGCATTCAGCTTCCCAGTCAGGTGAGGCTCCGTTCAGAATCCAAGAAAGAAACCATTAGACTCCATTGTTATAGAGAAAAGGACTTTTACTGGAAATCAAGTGGTAGCATCAAAAGAATTCAAGATCTGAGGCATTAGGCGCGAAAATCACATATACAAAGTTATGGCAACGTTCCCACCCACCATAGTTCAAACCGGCCATCCAATCTGAGATGTGTATAATGTCATGTGGGGCATCTTCAGGTGGTGTTTCAGACATCTGGCCATTGACCTTGGCCTGGATAGATAAGATGTTGTGGCTGTGCAGTAAGCAATAAGCATAAACAATAAAGTTTTCCCAAATGTTACAGTTCACCCTGTCAAGCCTCCAGCACTCTTCCCCCCCTCCACAAAGCCCAATTTATCCTCTCCCCCCCATGTCGCTATGGCAGCCAGATAGACAAGCAGAAGAAAGATTCTTGGAAGCTGACATTCCCCTTGCTCACTGCCTTGTTCGGACATTGATGCAGGGTCCCTTCGGTAGAGTAAAATTTGGAAGGGAAAAACATTTTTCTCTCTGGGTTGACCACTGTTGCAGAGCCTGCTTTATGTAAGGACCGGTCTCTCTCCCCCCTTTTGAACAAGTATAGACTCTTGAAAACTTTGTATTTCAAAAGGAACCTTTTATTAAAAAGCGATGAAAGCAAGTCAGAATTCAAAGCGGCCTCTGAGGTCCCTCAGGGCATCCAATTAGGATAAAGGAAATTAGAGAACTCCTCCCAACAGTCCGATGTGGATTCCACCAAACTGCAGATGTGAAGATGTTGTACCGGCCTCTCTGAGAAACAGATAAGAGTTTCTCAAGACTATCTTCCAGCATTGTAATCCACATGGCCCTCCCACCCTCAACATTCCCCAAGAGGTGAGAATTTTCCAGGCACCCGAGATGCCAAGCAACAGTTATAAATCAGGTAAAAGTTTATACAAAAAGACAAGGCAAGAAATAGGATATCTAGGATACATAGAGAAGGAACCAAGTGTAACAAATCCAACACCACCACCCTTCTTCCACCAAAGAATGCAGATACACGGAACTGACAGGTTGGTACCTCCATGGAGTTAAGTATCAACAGAATTCAAGGGAGAGTTGGACTTAGTCTGCTTGTGGTTTTGTGGAGAATCCAGGCTGTTCTGTCTTTTATTTCCATCCCTATGTTCTACCACTCCATCTCCTAGATATAAACACATTTTCTTCATTCCAGAAAATGGAAATAAACTTATACCATTTTTATAAGATTTATAAATCTAGCTTTAGTTCAGTTTGGGGTAGATACTATAGAGTAATGTGTTTCATTGAATGCACTTCTAAAACTCATTTTAGGTATACCGACAGGATTGTGAAACTTTTGGTGCTGTGGTGAAGATGCTGATTGAAAAAGACCCTGCGTTAGAAAAAACTGTTCAGTTTTCTTTGAGACAAAATTTGCATGAGATTGGTGAGCGATGTGTTGAAGAACTTAAACACTTCATTGCAAAATATGATTCTGCGAGTCAAGAATTTGAAGAAACATAAGATAAATTATGAGTTATTCATATATAAAGGCAACCTGCTTCATGGATGCTAACCTTCTAAATTTGTTGATCTTGCATTTGATCTCTTCATAAATTTGAATTAATTGCAAAAAAAAATCATTTACTTAGTTGATTCCGTTTAGAAAATATATTGACTATATGAAGTTCAGCTCATGTCAGCCATATTTTGAAAAATCCTTAACAAAAAGCTGCCCCAATTATTGAAACAGGTTGCCAAGTATGACAGACCATTTTGTAATTTTATTGATATCGATGAATATATAAAATAAATGTGTACCTGTATTTATGTAAATTTTACATATGTATTCCTTTTAATTACAGTAGCTATACTAATTTGTTTGTAAACCATTGTTAGGACAATTCCATTAAGCTAGTTGTTTAAGCTTAGTGGTTTTGTAACTTCAAATAGCTTGTATAATTAAACTCCAAATTTGCATTTCCTTGAAAGCTTTGTACACTTGTATAAACAATATTTGTCTTTAATAGTAATGGAAAGTATATACTCTTATTCTCTTCTGCAATTTCTGTAATTTCCACTACACTATGGGATATTCCTTTTAGAAATGGGTGTAGTGAAGGCAGCACAAGTGTTTTCAAAGTATGAGAATTGTGTAATTCATCATTTCACAAATGGCACAGACATGATGATACTTCCCATAATCGTGGGCTAAAAGGGTAAGTAAATTCATAATTGCAATTCAGCAGCTAATCTTTATCCAACATCACTTCATTATATTCCTCTCTTACAATTAGAGACTAGTCTACTTGAAAAGATTCTTCTCAGAATTGCAACAAGGTGGTTTTTGTTTTTGTTTTTTGGAATATTTACCTTCCCACCAAAGTGGTCCCTATTTTTCTACTTGCATTTTTACATGCTATCGAACTGCTAGGTTGGCAGAAACTGGGACAAGTTACAAGAGCTCACTCCATTACACGGTGCTAGGGATTCGATCCGCCAACCTGCCAACTTTCTGATCGACGAGCCCAGCGTCTTAGCCACTGAGCCACCGTTAACTGCCTCATGGGCAGCTGGGTTATCTATTACAGTTATCGCTTGTCTAGTGTACTTTCCACATGTAATATACAGAACAATTTTGGTCCTGTAAATTCAAGTGTTGTTTACCGATGGTTAGGTGTTATTTAATTCTAAAGTAACAAAAAGTAAGTTTCCTCTGTTTAAACAGATGGATGATTTGTAAGCAATACTTCTTGTATTCATAGGAATGAAGCGAAATATGGTGGTGTATGTTTGTTGTTTAAACCCATAAAAATGAATAAACATACAGATATGCTTCTGTACACTTCAATCTGTCCCTCAGTTTGCCTCAGCTACTATGACCAGTGAAAGGGACTGTGAAAGTTTTAAAGCAGCTAGAACATATTGTATTACATTTCAGTGTTCTAACCTACACACAGATATTGTAAAATATGGAAACAAACCAAATTTATAAATTATGAAAACAAATTACAATTATAGAAAGCCAGTTATTAAAAACTGAGTTAAATAATTGATCTCACTGACTAAATAACAAATAAAATTCAGCAAAAGCCAGTAGAAAATTATATCACTTGCATGCTGATGGAACCTGAGACTACTTAAGATAGGTTCAATAAACAAATCCATATCACACTAAGCAGAAAAGCTACAAATGTAGATTTGAATTCAGTGGACCATTCTTAGTAGAAAGCATAGTACAATTTTATTTAGTTGATCTTAAAAATAACATTTGGCTGATTGTGAAAACATTTACTTTTTGGTTGTTAGAAGAATATATAGGACAATTTAATAATCTATCAAGGTAGGGTGAGATTAACTCACTCTTCCGAATGGCTCATCAGTCTTTATGTACTGCTACTTAACCCAAGCAGGATATAACAATGCCTCTTGTACAAATCACAATTAACCAAGCAATGTTATCTATTTTAGGTTTAGAACCTAGCATTGAAATTTAGCTTAAAGTATAATTTAGTTCAATTTATACATGCCAATTTTATTTGTTTAATTTACACAATTTAAAGTTTATTGATAATTCTTTAATATTGAACCATGACTGAAATATTATTTACAGAGCTTTACTATCAAAAATTAAAACATTTCACTATAAATGTATGAATATTTAACAAACTCCTGCTCAAGCAAACTGATATTAAACAGTCTAACAAAATTATTTGTCTATTTTAAACAAATGCCTTACAATTCAGAAATATAAAAATAGTTGAATAAATCTTAATTTTATAATATATATATATTAATTGTACTAAGTTATAAATACAGGAAACTAAAATACTACTTTATAAATCTGTTAACTCTTAATTGCTGTTCATATTACATTTGAAACTTGAGATACTGTTCCAATATAGAAGATCCTTACATATTTTCATAAGTTTTTAATTTAAGCAAATTCAGTGACATCTTATTTTGAAAGCAGGTATTATTATCTCACATCACTTTAATTTTTACAAACTGTATATTAAGATTATATTAAGCAAAATTTGCCTGAGATTCACTCCCATGAAGATAAAATAATAGTCAATTTGGTAAGAAGCAGTTCATTGTCCAGCATAGAACCAGATAATTGTTGCTTGGCATCAAAATGGCTAGGTTATATTAAACATATAAGAAAATGCAAAAATCAAATTATTTGCACATGTTAAATGGGCAATAGTTACCCTCTGTGGTCATATTCCCACAGGGAGTAATAGTCTCTCTGAAGCTTCATGCCATGAATAGGACCAGCATTTTTTCTTCTTTTTGAAGATACATGAGATTGGACAGCTTGTTTTTGTCAGAAGTTTGAATTGATCCTTTGGAAAATGTGTTCCTTTTATAAAATATTGCATTTCTCCCTTCGAAACAGAAACTTCTGAAATTAGGCCAGTATCTATATAAAACGCTAATTCTTCATACTACCCATCTCTATGTGAAACACTGTGTGGAAGGTTTCCATCATCCCTCTGACCATGTTTACAGAGCTGATGAGAACAAGAATCCAATAAAATCCAAAGTACAGACTCCTCTCTGATTTCATACTATATCCATAAACAAGGAAGACTGTCCCAAGCCTGGCATTCATATAATCAGGGACAATTTCTAATGTTTGTTTATTTTTCTTGAATCTCAAGTTGTACGCAAGCCAGAATAGTTCTAAACAAGCTAATCCATATCAAAGGTTTATTTTTTTTTTATTTTTTGATGTAGTGCCTTAAACTGCTTTCAAAGCCTTGACAAAGAACACAGGCAAATTTTTCCCATTTTACAGACTTTGCTGACATTATTTAGATACACAAGATTTGAAACACAGTGTAGGCACAAAGTTTATAGGCAGTACATTTTAGGAAATTATACAGGTTTTGCCTTTGTGAGTTTTCCTTTTTTTCAGATTTTCTTATCTGCCTAAATTTCAGCACTTGAACTAGAATTGAAGTCTACATGGCAGGGATATCTCACAGATCTTGGCTGTGGAATGGGTTGTCCTAAGAAATATCCTTCCTCTTCAGAATCTGAAGATGATGAAGATGAGCACCAAGCTTCTTCATCCTCACCCCAAAATCCAAAAAAAACGATCTCTTGGTTTCCCTATTGCATAGTCAGGCGGCAATATGATTATTTTGGCTGAAAAAAGTGGGAGTATATGCCTGAACTGCCTGAGTATTTTTATTCTGAATAAATGCATCATAATCCTGAGGTGAATAAAACTTAAGCCTTTCTTTTGGAAAAGCTTTTCCTTCTGCAACCAGATGAAGTGCATTGTCAGATTGAGACTTTCTGCTGCTTCGATTATGTCTCTTTCCATGGTCTTCAAACTGATAAACACGTCTGCGAGTCCTTTCGCTCATAGGAGGTTGTTGAATATCAAGATTGTCATAATTTCCATTATCAATGACATCATCTGAAAATTTTACTTGTTGAGGCCTAGTCTGTGATTTGGATTTTCTCAGTACTGGTACATGCATTGACTTTTCTTCTGGCAGTGTCTCAGCCTGACATAATTCAGAATTTATACTCTTCAAAGACTCAGTGCTTCTATGAAGCTTTGATGAATTCAAATTTCCTATGTTGCTCATTTTCCCACAATTCTACGCCTCTAGATCCCGATAGGTTTCAAAGGAGTACAGAGAAGATCTTGGTTTGATTTCATCAATTGAAGCACCTAAAAAAATGAAAAGAAAAAAGTAATTTTGGTTGGAAAATTTATTTCATCCAGTTAAATTCTAAAAATGTAATTTCAGTTTATATTTAAAAAGCCACATTTGGATTCTGAATGTGGAATGTGTGAATTACTCATCTATCCAAATTTTCCTTCATCAAACACAGTTGCTGAACAAAACAACAGTGTAAATGTATCAGATTTCTGAATTATTTCAGTCAACCACCTTGGTGATATGATCAACCGCATGCATATTTCAAATAAAATGAGTTGCCTTTTCCAGTGGCTATAGATGTTAAACAAAAGTGACAATAAAATTTTGAAATATCTTGATTATTAGTGATATCTGAAATCGCTAGTTTCAAAGCAGTCTCTTAAGGAAACTGCACCTGTTTCAACATAGGCATGATTTTCCTTCCACAGTCAAGTGTTGACTATCAGTTGCTTATCCCCTCCTGACAGACTGAACCAACAATGAAGAGCAAGAGCCTCCAAGTAGCAGGACTGATATAACAAAGGACACTATCCACTTTCTTGACATTATAGGCTAAAAAAAATATTCCAGATAACTGCACAAAACGTTACCCTTGGATTCTGACTATCTGACTTCCAGTTAAAAGCAATTTATACCCATAAAGTGTCTAGCTAAAAATGTTTATCGATAAAATCATACACAAGGGGTTCAAGTGGGAAGCTTCTATTCCATTGTGATCTTACTCTGACCCCTGCTGGAGAACATGGTTTTATTATGTAATTATCAAGTTTCTTTACTGCCCATCTCAATTGACTCTTTCACAGGTAGTTCTTAATTGACAACCACAATTGGGACAACCACATCATTAAGGGATGCAAATAATCCAATTTCCTCCATTGATTTTGTCATAAGCCCCTGAGAAGGTTGCAAATGGTCACATGACCCCAGGATGCTGCAACCATAGTAAATAATATGCTGCTTGCCGAATGCTCAAAATTTAATCACATGAACACCAGGACACTGCACTGATTGTTAAATGCAGGAACCGGGTGTAAGTTACTTTTTTTAATTTTTTAATTATTGTAAGTTTGAAGGTCATCAATGATCTTAAGTCAAGAACTTGTACAAGGTAATAAATAAGCAAAAAATAAATTCATAAACACTTAAAATCCACTTTAAAATACCGTGTTTCTCACATAATAAGGCCGGGCCTTATTTTTTTTTGAACCCCGAAAAACCGGCTAGGCCGTCTTTTCGGGGGTGACTTAATTCCCCCCCCCCATTGCATCCTCGGGTGGGCGGGCGGCGACAGCTTGGATGTTCGGGAGACCTTCCATCACCATTGGTTTTCCTTCTCCCTTGCTGCTGCGGCGTTACAGTAATGCCGCGGCATTTGGCGCAGCCACGTGCGGCCAGTCAGGGCTCCTCCCTGCAACCGGAGCCCTGAGGAGACACTTGGCTTCAGGCGCTCCTGTCGCCGCCTTCCCTTTGCCTTCGAAGGTAAAGCGAATTATTTTAAAAACCTCCGCTCATCCCACCAGGGCTGCACCTGAGCCGTACGAGCTGGGCAGAGCCGGGAAAGCGAGCCGCGGGTGTTTCCTGGTTCTGCCCAGCCCGCACGGCTCTGCCGCGGCCCTAGCGGGATGAGCGGAGGTTTTAAAAATAATTCACTTTACCTTTGAAGGCAAAGGGAAGGCGG